ACAATCAATACTGAACGGCTTATTGTCAGGAGATTCGCTGATCTTGTAGATATTTTTAGTTCGTTTAGAGTTTTTGGTAGGTATTAAGAATTTTAGTTATTAAAAACTTTTGCACTTACTGCAAACTGACGCTTGACTGACTGCTCAGTTGGTGCGGTGGCTCGCGATGGCGCAACGTGTACCGGGCTCGATTTCCGTACGGAGCAATTCTTTCTGTAATCTACAAACTGTTGTATTCAGGTTTCAGGATTAAGGTATGAGGCAGTCAATTGTCAGGATGTCATGTGTTAACGCACCTACAACACAGGAGAAAATCCTAGTATAGGCCAAAGATTCTATAAAAAAAAGGATTTGTGTAATTTGTGTAAAATGTATTTATTAATTTGCCAAAATTGTCCATTAAGAGTATCGTATCTAACTGATAAGTTTGAGAATACACTTGTAGTGAGCATTTTAGCGAATGTTACATGAACGCAAAATAAAGACTGCGTTTCAGCGAGCATTCTATCAAGTGTTCTGGCGAGAATCCTATGAATTCTAAAATTATAATGTCATTGACTGCACAACCGGCTGCAGGGTAACGTGTAGCGGGCTCGATTCCCGCACGGAGGAATTCTTTGTGTAAACCACAAATTGTTGTTTCGGGTCTGGTTGTCATGTGTTTGTGATATTATATCGTCGTAAACGTACCCACGACGCAGGACAAAACCGAAACTATCCCGCAATAGTGGGCCAACATTCTTTTCTTTTTTAAATGAGCTACAAATTGGGATTAAATAACAATAAATATTTCTTTAACACACATAAGTGATCACGAGAAACATTGACAAATTTGTTCTAAACCACTTATTTTAGCTACTGTACGATAAACGTACAAGAACGGGTAACTAAGATTTAGTTGAAATTGTAGCCGAGTTCCCAAGATGTATGTCTACCGCGAAAGTCGAGTGGGGTCACAATAAATAACTGGGCTCCATGAAACTTGCAGGCCAATGTGGGTAACAGATAAGGTCGTTGTAAAGTACTACATTGTCTTCTCTAGTTTTATTGTCCACTCTTAGATACTGTCTAGTCTTATTGTCCACTCCTAGGTCTTGTTCTTTAAGATATAATTTGCAACGGTTCTAATACAAATTATTGTTTCATTATTATGTTTTTTTTTATTGAGTTCCTGTTCATCTTTGTCATCATTTTTGCAGTCACCAGATGTTATTGACCATCTCAACTTCAATAGTGTTGAGAATTTTTAAACCAAAAAATTCTTTTATTAATTACATTTACAAAAATCGACCTCAATCCCCTCTTTTTCGAACTCAGTTAATTAATATACCTACTAAAATCTTCTCCCAAGTGTAACAAAATTTTTTTCTGAAAACCGCATCAAAATCAGTTCATCCAATTACGAGGTAATCACCCACGAATACACATTCATACATATAGGTCAAACAGAGAACTTCTTTCTTTGAAGGCGGTTAAAAAAGAAAGAGATCAATGAGATGTAATTCGATAACTGTCAGTGAGTTGAACGAAGATGTTAGCGGTCGCGGTGGGTACTTATTTCCTTAACTGAAGTGATTTCTGATTCACTTTGTTGCAGGAACTAAGACCGTTACTCATGTCTCTGGGACGCGTCGGACTTCAGTGTTCCGGTGTTTTCATGGTTGTATCTACTGTAGATCCTGGCTTACAAGAGTTGCAACGGTTTTGGGAGGTTGTGGCGGGTTTGTCCCTTTAAAAAAATACAAATAACTGAAGTGATTTGTTTATAAAAACAAACCATGAAAGTTTAAGGTCGTAAATACCAACTGCTTAGAACAAAATATGCAATAAAATGGACTAAGTTTCAACCGTGTATGTTACTAAACCTACGTTCTATTCTACCAAACAGATTTTCCGTTCCATTTACTTGAAAAGTCCATGTGTATTTGGGTAAGGTCGGAGTGACAAATGTGGTTTGTGGGAGTCAACCTAGCGTTGTGCACACAACTACACATGAAGGTATACAAGACCAGTTCACCATGACCTCTCTTTGTTTAACCTTCCCACATATTCAACGGTCCGTTTATACTGGTTGTGTAGCTTGATCTGTATGTACGTTCGTTTATTGCGAAGCCTCTTAGTGAATATTCTCTTGGAAAAAGACCTGGTCATGAAAAGGGACCTCAAAATGTCCTAGGACATTATTTACTGTCGTCTTATCTTAATAAGCTTGTGGCCACGGATTCTATCTATGTCCGCGACGAAATTTATCACAATCGGTCAACAACTTCGGCCATTTTAGGCGGTAGATTGTGTGCTGAAAGTGCGCAATTCTTTTGTTTTGTAGTTAATTAAAATGGCCAAAAATAGTGCTAAAGCTTATTTTTTATCAAATGTTTTCTAAGTCTAATTATAAGTGACTTAGAGCTATATTATGTATTAGTATAAGTACAAAGTTATAAATATAATAGGTGAATGAAAGAAGTCCTGTATAAGACATTGACTACGACTGGTGAGTCTGAGTGGTCGCAAGTGCGACCGCCGGGCAAAGGGTCTCGGGTTCGATTCCCGGGTCGGGCAAAGTATTACTGGGTTTATCAAAAAAATTACGGTAGTAGCACGGAGTCTGGAATTGTGCCCGGTATATGGCAATAGACTTGCCCCCTATTACATAGGACTCATAACATAAATAATGAAAAGTGGGTGTTACATTGTAAAGTGGCATACTGTACACCGCTGCCTACCCCTTCGGGGATAAAAGGCGTGATGTTATGTATGATGTTATCAGACTATCTATAACATAAACTAAAAACGATATGTCGCACCATGCTGTTACCTATCCCTCCGGGAAATACAGAGAACAGCAAATATGTTATCTCCGTCAGATATGCTATGCACAACACACCGAATTCCTGTTTACTTGAATCGTTTGAAGAAGATAAAAATCTGGTACATAAACAAGATACGAAATATACAAAGGATTTTAATCTAGAAAACAAATAAAATGAAACAAGGAGAGGAACATAACGAACCAAATATCATCTGCAGAGAAATGATCAAGATTCGTATGGCGTCTGAACATGGCTGGATGCAGGAATTGGAATCAAATTCTCAAGCTGTCACACGCTGTAGTAGAAAATATTTGATGCTGTTACCGTTGGCTGCGGCGATGTATCACGAACGTGACTGTTCAGAGCCATTTGTTTTATGTTCCTCCACTAATACTTGTGGACTGGGAATTTGTGAAGTTCTAGTACTAAGTCTAACTTTTGAGTTAGATTCATTATATTAGAGGTATGACGCTATTTTACCAAAGACGTGAATATAGGTACTTATTTTGTTATAGCTAATTTTGTCTGTTATATAACACATGACATAACATCACGCCTTTTATCCCCGAAGAGGTGCACATTATGCCACTGTACAATGTAACACCCACTTTTCACTATTTATGTTACGAGATCCATGTATAACACAACTTTTTATAAGGGGTAAAATCATCAAATTACTTTCCCGTCTGGGTGAGGCGGGAGGGGTTAAACGTTTGCTGACTTTTCTTAAAAACCACCCAGTTCCTACTCCTGTATTTCGAGCCGGAGCCACGGTAACCTTTTACCTTCTCCGCGGCTCCGTAACGGCATCAGCCCTATTGGGCTCCATCCGTGGTGGTCTGATAGCTCTTTTTAGCGCTGAACATGACACGCCGTACGCTCGGGTCTGATTCTGGTCGGGCGTTGAGCTGCTCATCCTCGCCGTCCGCAGGCCAGTACTTATATAACATGACTGACTTCTATAAAATGCTGTCTTTTCTCTGGATCGAAAATACTAAAATTACTAATTTAACAATGCAAACTTTAAGACATTACAGGAAGAAATACAGCCTAAATGCCTGTGAAGTTACCCAGATACGTTAGTGTAGCCTAAATGCCTAAAAAGTTACCAAGATACTTAAGTCTATATCTAAAGCCTGATTCTTAACGCAATATTTTCCAAGAAATAATAAAGTTATGAAGGTAAAGAAAAACTCCTGTGAAACTTGTAACGTTTTTAGACAATCTAATATCGCTCCGTGGACCTCTCAACTTCGTCGCGTTGCCAAATTAATTTCATACAAAAAACTTCTCTTTGTAATCTTGTGCGTTGAAGCTAAAGTTGGAAATGGAAAAATGAAGAAATCAAGCCATAACGCCGGAACGTTTGTATTATTTATAGAGGATTTTAAGAATGGGAGAGCCATGCTTCGAGACGAATTGGCCGGCTCGGCCGGAGTGATACCACAGCCTCACAGAAAACCGACGTGAGACAACGCTTGCGTTGTAATTTGTCGTGTGAGTGAGGTTATCGGAAGCCCAATTACCTCCCACCCCTTTTCCAATCTCCCCAATTCGTGAATCCCTAACAATCCTTAAATTCCTAATATCCAAAAGGCCGGTAACGTACTGGTAACATCTCTGGTATTACGGGTGTCCATGGGTAGTGCTGACTGCTTACTATCAGGTGATCTGTCGGCTCGTCTACCAACTTATACCATTAAAGAATAGAAGGATTCTTTAAAAAACAAATGAAATGCACATCTATCATGAGATAGACAGATAAAGTAACGGCTCCTTGTCTCATCTTGATAAATGACTTCATTTTGCTCTAGCCCCTTACCATTTTTTCCACCGATGATGGGTTTTTTATTGGCACTTTTCAGTAGCATGCAATTTCAAATAACTAGAATCATATGGAGTAATGTCAAGAATATTAGATTGCATTAATATTAATAGTAGTCGTAGCTAGATGATCAATATTCTTTCGTTGACATTGCTGTTCGTATAAATATTTTCTTTCATTATTGTTCGTATTTAAATATGCAGCCCAATTTTGATGGCATAATGATAATATGTATCCTACGTAGTTTGGTTTATTATAAATTGAATCGCATTTAATTCTATGGTTAGATATTTTACGGAATTAACTGAATATACACCGTGTTAGAAAACTACTTCTCTTACACCATTTTCTTTCTCTTGTTCCAGGCTCATGCTGCGATGTCTTCAGATTATAATTCTCGTCACAATCGCAGCGGAGTATGTATACGCCCACGAGATCGACAAAGAGCACCAGGGACCGCAGCTCTGCGGCGGACACTTAAAGGGTCCCGTGGGCACCATCACCACCCCAAACTTCCCTAACCCATTCCCGGTCCCGATAAAGTGCAAATGGATAATAAAGCACGGTATAGAGAACGGGACCATCTCGGTGTACTTCACGCAACAGTACACCACCACCGGGCTCACCTTCACCGAGTACTTGTACTATGATGAGTCGTACGTCGTCGGGAAGAGGAGGGCACTCACCCTTACTGACGACAACATCACCAAGGTTAAGTGGCTTCAGGTATGTAAGCTATTTTAGTAAAACAATTTCAATCTGTAACTTCCTACTAGGCAAATGTATTTTATCACAAGAATGAAGAACATAACATCACGTCTTTAACTCCGAAGGGGTAGGGAGGTGTACATTACGGCACTTAAAGCCACTGTACAATGTAACACCCACTTTTCACTATTCATGTCATGAGTCCCATGTAATAGGGGTGAGCCTATTGCACTATACCTGGCACAAATCCAGACTCCGTGCTTACTACTGAGAATTTAAAAAAAAACCCAGTAGTATTTTGCTCGACCCGGGAATTGAACCCGAGATCCCTTGCCTGGCAGTCGCACTTGCGACTACTCGGCCAACGAGGCAGTCAAGAATTAAGAACTGAGAAGAAATTAATACTAATCAACCACCGAATGCTCGATTTTAAATAAAAAAGGCCGATTGCGAATTTGAAAACTATCCGAAACTTATTATTAAACATCACATTTTTGCAAAGACTCCACCTTCAAACTAGAAAGTAGCAAATTAATCTCCAGGTCATAATAGTAGTACATCACAAGAACTTACTATACTATTTTAATTTGGTCAAAATGAGATATAGTACGTGTACCATAATGCCACATTACATCAAAAAGTTACTGAGCCAGAAAACACCACCTTAATTAACTAGAAAGCTGACGAAGGATTTATAGCGCACATCAATTCTTGGATAGAGTTATTCTGTCATCTCTCTTAACTTTGGGAGCCATTTTAAATTCCGCAGACGATTTTGCAGCCAATGTAACTCAGGGAAATATGGCGGGAATGCACCATTATGTTTTTAAAATTTCATACGAAGAAATGGTTCTATTCTCTTGAAAGTAATGCGTGTAGATTCTTATTATGACGCGGAAATTTTGTGGCATGATTTTCCTGTATGTTTTGTGATTTACCTTATCTGTAAAGCAACCTTGGCTAAGTTGGTTGAAGTGAACTTCTGCATGTAAGTTACAAGTTCCACTACGCAGTTCTGTGCCTTTAGATTTCCTGTACTGAGGCATGTCGTGGTGGCCCGGAGGAGCGTGGGGGTCCGGAGGTTTAAGACACTCGCTTTTCATGCATGAGAGTGCGGGTTCGAAACCTACCAACGGCAAATACCAATGTGACTTTTGCTGAGTTATATTTACTTTCTAAGTTTTTCTAGACACCACTAAAACGGTGAAGGATAACATCGTGAGGAAACCTAGGTTTATAATTTCTAGTTATAAGTTTGAAATCGCCAACCTGCATTGAGCAAGCGTGGTGATTAATGCTCAATCCTTGTCCGTGTGAAAAGAGACCTTTGGTCAGCTATGGTTACTTATGATGATGATGATGATGATGATGATGACTGAGACATTATTTGTCCTTGGCAATTGTTTTCGGAACAAAATAATTACTAAGGAATATCTCGGAATATTGCAGTAAGCAACCATCCTGTTTAGAAAATTAATCTTCTGAATTCTATTGGACATAACGAGTTAGTATCAGTTATATCAAAGATCCATAAATCGTTTAATGAATGACTTAAACCAAGTTTTTGTTCGTAAGATGAACTGAATACTAATAGGGTAAGGACTATAAAACCTAGCTACGGTACGGGAAAAAGAAAAATTGTTGACGATAAAGTCTTTAACGCTATGCTCCTGTGGAGAAGGTTAATAACCCTCCAGCATTACTGTAATTATTCAACGTAACGAGGTTGTCGTCAACTGTACCGCGGCTCGAATGGGGAAGTAATGTTGTTGACTTTTAAGCAGTAAGAGCGTACATGATGCTTGGCATGGGGTAATGTTTTTATGCTGATTTTTACCTTATTAATTTGCTAACTAAGAGCGAATATAGCTAGTTATTTTTCAGTTTACTATTAATGTTATAATATCAATTTGTCATTATCTTTTTTTTATTATTAGGTAATACCAAAATTAAATGTAGTTAGTTTCCCTTCCATTCCATTTCTTTACCTGAGCGTACGGCGCGTTGCGTTCCGCGCGCGCCTCAAAGAATCATCAGACCACCACGGATGAGGCCCAATAGGGCTGATGCCGATTCGGAGCCGCGGAGGACTTAACGGGTTGCCGTGTTTCTGGTTCGAAGTGCAGGAGTAGGAATGGGGTTGTTTTTAGTCAGTAAGGGTCTGACACTCCCTTCCGCTTAACCCAGGCGGAAGGAGACATTCGATGATTTTCGCCCTTAAAAAAAAATGTATTTCCTTTTATGTTTTGAAAGTGTGGAATAGAAATACTGTTCCTAAACTTTTGTTTATATAACAACTGACAACTCCAAGCGCCATTTTAATTAAATTACTTATAAATTAACTTTGAATAAAGATATTCGCGATAATTTTATTAAAATACTTAAAGAAGTTTGAAAGTATTTAGGCGGGGCGCCCAAACTTTCGATACGCTGATTAAATTATATTATCATCAACAGTTGATTAACGTTCATTCTTTTCAATATTGTTGATTATAAAGGAAAGAAAAACAATGAATGAAAAAAACTATATAAAAACAATGAATTTCCGTTCGTTAGTTTCGCTAGAATTCAAGAACGGCTGAACCGGTTCGGTTAATTTTGGTGTTGTAATCAAAGTCAAAGTCAAAGTCAAAATCATTTATTTCAATTAGACCAGGAAGGAACTTTTGAACGTCAACAAAAAATTAAAAGTGAAGCTATTTGCTCATTCCAAGGTATAGATTCCTATGGAGAAGAACGAGCAAGAAACTCCATAGGTTACTCTTTTCCAATCAGGTTCACAATACAATACTCCAGTTACACAGTTTTATTGGTTCGATTGTGCGACAACAATGTAATGTAATGTTTGTGGAAGTCCAGGGAAGGTTTAAAAGGTTAAAACCAGTCGGGTAAAACTAGGAAATTTTGAGGTGGTATCTAGTCCCGGGTCAATTAGTAATTAATATACCTAAATGGGAAGTGAAAAATATTGAGAAATTAAAATCGTTTAATATTCGCATTTCTTACATAAAAATAATCAAGATTCTGAAATCTGGTAGAATAGTAGCATTTTTTCTTTACATACCGTAACATCACGCCTGTCATCCTCGAAGGGGTAGGCAGAGGTGCATCTTACAGCACTTAATACCGGTTTATAATGTAACACCCACTTTCCACTATTTATGTAATGAGTCCCATGCGATTGTGTGTGAGCCTATTGCCATATACCTATTTACCTACCGGGCACAATTCCAGACACCGTACTACTACTAAGATTTTGTTTTTAAAACCCAATTTTACTTCTTTTAAATAATGGGGATGATGACAGGGTATGAAAATTAAAAATATAATTAGTCCGTAAGTTAGGTAATGAAAAAATATTAGACACGTATTTTTTTATTTTGTCGTATATTAAAACAATACTTAGATAAAACGAATCAAAGTTTAGGAGTGGGGGCTAAAACGTCATTTCTTAGTATAAAATGTACTGAGAAGTGACGTCACGCGACATTTCAAATCAATATATCTTCGAAACTATTCGTTTCTGTGAGAAAAGAAAAAATACGTGTCTAATGTTTTTAAATAATCTATCAGACGGACATTAAAATAAAAATTAGTCGTCTACCCTATTGTGCGATAGACTATAGACGACTCAATACTTACATCCAAGTGATAAGTAAAATAATGTTCCGTAAATCTTGTAGGTCACATTTTTTCACGTCAAATATTATTTCCAATAGTAGATAATGGAAAAGAATTTTAATTAAGTACGGTACCGAAATTTTCATTATTTTTAATAACTCTAGTCTTAGTGAATGAAAACATTATTCATTGGCTTCATACACTGTTATTGACCAAGGCCTTAGAACATCTCATTGATCTTGAGTTGTACTCAAGATCAATAAGATGTTCTATCTATTGTGCCCATTGTTCGATTGCCTAATAAATATTACCTTGTGGATCAATTTGACTGATTGATATTATAAATCACATGGTGTGACAAGAGCTATTGATATGTATTGTTTTTTTGTCATCTTGAAAGCAGTAGTAATTTTTTTGTTTAACCGCGCGCGCCTTGAAGACCTGTTATATCACAACCGATAGTGTCCAGAAGGACTTGTGTCCGATATGGCACCGCAGAAACCTTAACGGATTGCTAAGCAGGTTACTCCTGCTTCGAGGGGAACCTCCTCCTGCAAACAGAGTGAATTTTAGTCAGTAAGAGTCTAACACCCTAACTAACTAAGTAGTCACCCAGGCGGGAGCAGATTCGATGATTTTCCCCCTTAAAGAAAAGAGTCTAACACTTCCTCTTACCCAAGTCAGGAGAAGTCACCATGATTTTTTCGCTCAAAAATAAGTATATTTAAATACAAGGAAAAAATAAGTAGGTCGTAAATATATTGTTTCGTAGCAAATGTTCAGAAACAAAAGTTTTATTGTAATATTTATTGCAGCAACGTGAGCCGAACATTGAGAGCGATACGAGTCGTTTTCTGCTGTGAGTCTGTTCAAGAGATTTTTTATTTCGTGTTAGTAAATACCGGTGGTGTACTAAACATTATTATATGTACTTATATATATTAGAAGCATTATACAGGCAAACCTATCATAGTCATTCAATTTTGACTTTTAAAAACACTTCTTTAAGAATTAATTTCATACAAACGGATCACCTGATGGTAAGCAATCGGTGCCGCCAATGGACACTCGAAACACAAGTACGTTACTGGCCTTTTGAGGAATTTGAAGATTGTTGGGGATTCGGGGAGTAGAGAGATTGGGGACGTGGGTAATTGGGCTTCCAGTAACCTCAGTCTCACGATGAGCCTGTGAGCCCGTGGTATCACTCCAGTCGCGCCAGCCCACGTGTCTTTCGTTAATTCTGATACTTATGACCTTCTTTTTTTATCAAATTGTTGTTTTTTCTGAAGTTTTTCCTTAGCGACTGTTTCCACTAAGGTCGAAATCTGTCGTCAGCGTAAGTCATCGCCTCGTGTCCCCGTTTATGTTGTTTTAGGTACTTAATCCATTAGCCTAGGGTATGGAGATATTGTTTTTTATAAAAACCTTTTTCAGCTTTCGCTTATTATGAATAAGCAATTCCCAATATACTGCAATACAGTCTGTCTGTCTGTCAGAACATCTATATCTATTCAAAGTAGTTCTTATAATCAGAAAAGAAATTAGAAGCAACTTCAAACATAATTCAGATAAAACACAATGATTTATGATCCAATCGCGTACACAAACAAGCTACAAAGTGATGAAACAATACCTCAATACTTCTCAATCAAACTTGTACACAAAGTTCAATAGAGATTCTCTAGCAATATTGAAACAATATAGGGTGAAGGTATCGCTGACCACCAACCGCTTGACTAATTGCCCCCACCCTGTACAAACTCCACCTGTATTTACGCTTTGATACAACCTCGCACGTCAACCCACTCCAATCTGTCAGTATCGTTCATTGGATTTTCAACGTTAAATCAAATTATGAAAGTTGTAAATCGAATAAGAGGGTAAGAGTACCTTAATCTGCTGCCGTCTGAACAACAAAATGCGAGAGCACTGAGAAGTTTGCAACTTTCTAAACTAACTTACATACTGCACATACGGGAATGAAATCTATGTTGTTTTTTTAAAGGTGGATTTCATATGTTTTAAAACCAATTATGGCGTCCCATAAGTCTCTGTTTACCTCATTGGGAGACATGTATGTATAATCAATTATTTTGTTATTCGACTTACTCACGTAACTGTTTGACGAGGATCTCGATTAGTTTCAAACCACGCTCGGAGCTCATACTTATAAGTAGCATTCTATGAAACATGACGCGGCGAATGTTTGAAATCTGACTTTATTTATTTACATGAACAATAATTTTATTGTTGTATGGTTTGGTTTTATTGATCGATGTAACATTTGTTTACCGATTACGACAAATAGGGATAATAAAACCTTACAATATACAAAAATGGCACTTTTTTGTATATTTTATGTGTTAGTCTATGTCTATAAATAATATTATTAAATTTATAATGTAGGTACATTACTGAACTATAAAAAACCATTAAACAATCCCTTCAGATCGAAATTAAAAAGAATAAATAGATACAAACGTATCATAAAAGATTAAGATAAAAAAATATATCATGTACTCAAGGTCACAGACTAAAGTCTTTGAATAATTAAATTAATTAACGATTCCCTAATTGAAGCTATCTTAAAGTAACACCTAATTAAGTGTTAATATGAGACAGCCTCATTAAATTAATGTTTCGTACTAAAAGCAATTAGAAGTTTATTTGAAAGCCTTTTAATTAGGCATTACTTAAGTTTTCATGTTACTTGTTTTGTGTTAAGCAATTCTTAATTCTAAGACATATTAATTTTTTATAAACTTCAGGCACTTAATGTTCAAGAGGTGGACTTAATGCCGCAGGCATTTTCTTCCAGTCTGACCTTTGGGTGATGCAGAAGAAGAGTAGGTGCAAGAAGCAAGCAAAATTTTTATAAAACAATGGGGATTTCCCCATTTATTTGTTTATTTATTTCATACATAAATATTATATTCAAAGTCAAAGTCAAAGTCAAAAATCATTTATTTCAATTAGACCAGGAAGGCACTTTTGAACGTCAGCAATAGAAATTTAAAAATGAAGCTATTTGCTGATTCCAAGGTGTAGATTCCTATGGAGAAGAACGAGCAAGAAACTCCATAGGTTACTCTTTTCCAATCAGTTTCACAATACAATTCTTCAGTTACACAGTTTTATTGGTTTGATTGTGCGAGAACAATGTAACACCAAATCTAGCCAAAGAGATCGAAAAAGAAAATAACCCTTAAAGACAATAAATAATACAGTCTGGAGCTGACCAGTCACAGTTGACGGCGCCCGTTCACGAACATGACACGTACACCAGCACCGCCCAACTCAATCATATTGCAGGGAATCTAGCGACCCAATGCACGTGCCACCGCCAATTCGATCTTTGAGTGAACATGACAACTCCAAGCTGACATAAATGCATTCTACTAGTCCAATTTAATATTTAGTTAATTACAGGGCTCTCACATTAACAATGATTATGCAAGTTAAACCATATACATTTAAGCAACTACGTTGTAATATTTAGGTTGAATTTCATTGACACATCAATGTTTTTCGTTATCCCGTGGAGCTGGACCAGCGTGCATCCAAGCATTTTTATCTTCTATATAATCATTAATTTTGTAATATGCTTGTCTACATAAAGTTTTTTTTTATACATAATTTAAACTTCATTTCATTTAGGTGCTGTATATCGCTTGGTATCTTGTTATCACATTTAACACAGAATCCCATGAACGATTTACCCACTTTCGCCAATCTCAAAATTGGCTGACTTAATCTATCCTTATGTCTAGTTTGATAGTGGTGTCTGTCCGACACTTTACCAAATAACTGTAGATTTTTCTTAACATACATAATATTTTCATAGATAAATTGACATGGAACGGTCATAATGTTGATCTCTTTAAACCTCTCTCTGAGAGATTCGCGACGACCTAGGTTGTAGATAGCTCTGACGGCGCGCTTTTGTAAGATAAAGATAGACTCAATGTCAGCAGCGTGTCCCCACAGCAGAATGCCATACGACATATTGCTATGAAAGTAACTGAAGTACACTAGTCTTGCCGTGCCTATGTCGGTCAACTGTCGGATCTTCCAGACAGCACAAGCTGCAGAGCTCAATCGTCCCGCTAAAGATGTAATATGAGGACCCCATTGCAGTTTGTCGTCTACAGTAATCCCCAGAAAAGTAGTCTCTTTTACAAATTCCAATTTCTCATCATTCAATAATATGTCACATTCGCTGCTTTTAACATTTGGCAAAACAAATCTAATACATTTTGTTTTTTTATCGTTTAATACTAAATTATTTAATGTAAACCAATTTTGAACCTTCATTAAGGCGTTATTTACATCGTCATAATTATTTGTCCGTCTATTCATTTTAAAAACCAATGAAGTGTCATCAGCAAATAAAACATATGTGGCTCATTTTTAAATAAATGGGGTAAGTCATTTATGTATGTTAAAAATAAGAATGGACCCAGTATCGAGCCCTGCGGTACACCCATAGATATGCTAGCACCCTGTGAGTTTATTTTGTTTATTTGTACTTTGAGTTGCCTATTCTGAAGGTATGATTTTAATAGATTTAGCGATACCCCTCGAATGCCATAATGTTCCAGTTTCAGCAATAATGTCTCATGCTCAACACAGTCAAATGCCTTAGATAGATCACAAAATATGCCAATGGCATCATGTGTCTCTTCCCATGAAGCGAAAATCCGCTTAATTAGCGCTACTCCCGCGTCAGTAGTGCAGCGACCTTTAGTGAACCCGTATTGTTGGTCATGGAAAATACCATTAATGTTAAAGTGACGTAGCATCTGGGTGAGCATTAGTCTTTCAAAAACTTTGCTAAGCACTGGTAAAATAGAGACCGGCCTATTGTTATTTACAATATATACATACTTACATGATATATACAGAAGTCAATCAGTACATTTAATGACGAGGATCCTGGTCACGGCACCACATGTGACTGCCGACCCTAGGCTGGATGAAATTTTCGTTTTCCTAAATCAAGGAGGGATAAATATCGGCTTACCCTTTCGTTGGAAATGGGCAAGGAAGTGCTCCTCTATAAATATATACATTATACATACTTACCAATTCACAGTGAAAAGTTAGCGTGATGATTCAGCTTTCCTCTTTAAGAGAAGCTCACGTACTTTCTGCTTAAATGCTAGACGAATCGACATCATACTGACATCCATTGGGAGCGCATTCGACATTGTATTACTTTAGGAAGTGCATGATTTATGGTATACTACCCTATGTCCTTTCTCAAGTTCCAAACTATGTCTGTACCAAATTTCACACAAATCGGTTCAGTAGTTTAGGCGTGAAGCAAAGACAGACAGACAGACAGAGTTACTGCATTTATAATATTAGTTTGGATTATCATAGTAATTGTTTGTATGTTATGTATATGTATGTTTATCTGTGTTGGTCCAAACATCAACCTTATCATGATCAACCTTCTGAGAAAAGTCCTCGGTCCCTTATATTGAGTTGTCATAATCTTTAAATTGGGAGCAGTCTGTTCAGGTATTTTGATCACTGAAACACTATCTCTCCATCTCTTGGTAGGTTAAGTTTTAGTTACCGTTAAATGTAATAAAATTAAGTACACGCACCTACTGAAAGTGACGAAATATCCACTTCTGTATCGTATACATACATACATAACTTTACGCCTGTTTCCCACTTTACGCCAATTGCCTCGATTCCTACATACCTCTTTCGCTTCATCAACAGTCATCAATCATCTGTATCGTATATTAGATATATCGTCATCATCAGCCTGTATTCGTCCACTGCTGGACATAGGCCTCTCCTATGGCACGCCACTGAGCTCGGTCTTCAGCTCTTCTCATCCAAC